CTAGGGAACAAGCGATATTTGATCGCCGCCATAAACTACTTCACAAAATGGGTCGAAGCGAAGGCATCAACGCACATTCGAGATTCTGATGTCAAGCGCTTTGTGTGGAGAAATATATTCGAGATGCTGACGTTAAGCGCTTTGTGTGGAGGAACATCATAACACGATTTGGCATTCCAAGAGCCCTTATCTCAGACAACGGCACCCAGCTTGATTGTGGCGTCTACCGAGAGCTGTGCAGCAAATATGGTATCCGGCCTTACTTTTCTACGCTGGCTTACCCATAAAGCAATGGTCAAGCCAAAGCCTCTAATAAATCCATCTTGGACGGCATCAAGAAGAGGCTGGAGAAAGCTAAACGCAAATGGGTCGAAGAATTGTCGAGTGTATTGTGGGCTCATCGAACTACGCCGAGGCGATCTACTAGAGAAACGCCGTTCGCTTTGTGCTTTGAAACCCAGGCGATCATACTCTTAGAGATCGACCACCCAATCCTAAAATCTCAAGTTTTTGATATGGGCCGAAACGACATGATGCTGGCACTGGATTTGATTCTAATCGAAGAACGAAGAGACCGTGCCCTTGCGTTGATGGCGCGGTACCAGCAGCAGCTTGCCAAGTCATATAATCAACGTGTTCAATTGTACCGCTACACACCAGGAGAGTTGGTCCTGAAGAAGGTACTTCCAGTTGCCAAGAAACCGACTGATGGAAAATTGGGTCCTAACTGGGACGGCCCCTATCAGATTGATTCGATTGCAGGAGTAAGGGCATATCGGCTCAAAGACATGTCAGGGAGGAGTCTGCCACGGCCTTGGAATTCCACATTTACGCAAATTTTATCATTGACCGTACTTTGTGGGCCATGACACTTGTTCTGAACGGTTTGCCATGTACATCTCATTTTCTGTAATACAAAGATTGCTACTTACTCACTTCAAAATCAAGTTCAAGGGTGTTCTAATAAAAGCCTCCGAATTTGGAGCGCCCTTCGTGGATATCACAATTGGCCAAAATAAGTCTCCGGATTCGGAGCCCATCAGCGTACGACGTCTTTGGGCCGATAAAAGCCTCCGGATTCGGAGCACCCTTCGTGGATATCATGATTGACCAAAAGTCTCCGGATTCGGAGCCCCATCGGCGCACGACGTCTTTGGGCTGATAAAAGCCTCCGGATTCGGAGCGTCTGTTGACGTTCCTAGAGAACTCTCGAGAAAATTTCGTTTTGTTCTCTAGCTACTACAGTTCGGACTCAATGTCACGGTTCTCAATCTGATCTCATAATGTGCGATGTGAGACTGATAAATCACCAAAGAGTCGAAATCCGGCAAATCGTTTTGGAAAACTAATTTTTAAGAAAGAAGTGCCAAACATGGACTGCTTTGCCAGATACAGAGTCGCCACCTAAATATTTTATCTTGGGAAATCTAGGAAACCTTGACTCGTGCCTAAGGTCACGTGTCCGTCATCACCAAAGTTGCCTCGGCTAGGGAACTTGGGTACGAGAGGGGAAGGTCATGTAATGAGCACCCCCGCTCGCCCGATCAAAGATCGGCCTATACTAAGCATGATATCTTGTTTTTGAAAACACATGCGTTCTAATTCCGGTTAATTAGCTAGAATTACTATGTGATGCGTACAACACACAAGTATAGACTAGATCGCCTAATTTGGAACAAAGCATCGCATATCCGTTTGTTTGGAAATGGTTTGAAGTTTGCTACTTGCAAGTAGGCTAAAACACGGATTTCAATGAATTGTTCCAATTCAAGCAATCCAATCTTCACCCACAGGTATTCAGGCAGTTATATCACATAAGTAGTTAGCCTCATGACAAGCATGCTGTCATGTTAACACTCACACACATGCAAGATGCTAAAGCATAAACACTTACGGTGTACTTCGAGCCAAAATAAAGAACTAGTTAGTAATCAATGTATGATCCTAGCTCATGTTAAGACGGCTAATGCAACACATGCAAAATGTAACTAGAATAGGCTCGGCTATCCTAAGAATGGCATATGAGATGCAGCTTGATACATGTATTCAACTTGGAATTGAAATATGATGCAATTAGTATGATGCGCCGAGCCCGATGCATGCAATACAGATGAATGAGTGCAAACATGCATAACATAAGGTATGCTAATTGAAATATGCCCTAAGACTAACCATCGTAAGCGGTTAAGTAAAAGAGAGAAAGAAATGGGGTTGGAAGACATGTGTCACACACACGCACGCTTATTACAACAATTGGCTCTCTCGGGAGAGAGACTGAAAGAATAATACAAACTATCTAATTAACTAACTAACAAGCTAATTAATTATTACACAATCAAATGAATAATTAGCTATAACTAATTATTAACAACACTTAAATGATTAGAGCTTTATCTTTATAGCATTAATGGCTTGTAACTGGAGAGAGGAGATTTGAATCTCCTACCCGTTGGAGCAAATCAAGGAGGAAATCTTCCAACTGTGTTTGATCAAAGTATCGAGAAAGCAGACTGTATACAGGTCTTGGAAAGAAAAGGATCATTTAATGATCTCCTTCATAGGTCAACTTCTTGGACAAGATATGGTGCTAGAAGATCTGCTCAGGGATCAGAAAAGATGACATACTCTGCACACAAATCTGAAAAAGTGACTAAGAAAGGGGCTGTGTCAGTACAGATCTGATTTGGTAGCTGTATTTTTGAAACCCAGATTTTACGGGTGTCGGCCCCTGCAACTTGGGTGTCGACCCTTTTCTCTTCTTTTCTTCTTTAAGTTTTTTTTCAGGTGTTCCTGGTGTCGAGCCTTGTGATTCTTGGTGACGACCCTCGTTGCTGGATTGCATTCTAAAATTGACCCTTGCTGTTCTTGGTGTCGACCCTTGCCTCTAGAATGCATTCTGAAATTTTGTGTCGACCCTTGCTTCTGGAATGCATTCTGAAATTTGGTGTCGACCCTTGCTGTCAATCCTTGCTTATGGAACACTTAGGCATTCTGAGCTACACTCTGGTATAGACCCTTGCTATTTTGGTGTCGTCCCTTAAACTTGTTTTAAGCATAAATAAAATTTTGCAAACAAGTGCTAATCTCATTTTTTGAGGGGTTAAAAACTATTGAAAAATAGCACTCTAGAATCATAAATCTTCTAGAAACATTAAAGCACAATTTGTATATTATTATTTTGAAAATGTGAATAATAAAATGAATTTTAAATATTTGTTAATAATCAAAATCAATAAGAATTTAAAGTTAAATAATCTTGGGGCTAACAAAACTGCTAGGAGGTGTTGAAGTGTACACTAAGACCCCGTTTGGGAACATGCTAATTTAGTAACTTTTTGGCTATTTGGTTAAAATATGAGCTAAAAAAAACTAGTATGTTTGGGATGGCTTTTTGACTTTTGACGAAAAGATGTACAAAAAGTAAAGAGAAAAGAGAATCTTTGACTTTTTGATATAAATTATTGACTTTTTGACTAATTTTAATAACTTTTAAAATTTTTGGTTTAAATGATAAATTTCCAAACAAGGCCTAACGTGGTCAGCTGTTAGTGTAGACTATAACTACAGTGGTGATAGATCCCACTAAAAAAGAACCACTAAACCAGCTCTAATGAGCTGGCAGTCCAGAAAATAAAAAAAATAAAAAAAAGAGCAAAACATCAAATCAATTAAGAGTACAATATTTTTAGAGCTATTAGAACTCATTATTTTAATGGTCTCAAACAATTTTCCTATAACTATGGCTGGCTAGATAAAAAGTAGGTATTATTGTACTTTTTTTATTTATATGGCTGGCTAGATAAAAAGTAAGTCTTATTGTACTTTTTTTATTTATATATATTTTAATACATTATTTGTATTTAACACGTTTTAACATACAGCTTAACATTTTTATTGCAACACCAGACACGTTCACTAAACTAACAAACTTTAACATACAAATGAATTCTACTTTTGTTATTTTTTATTATATAACATAATATAACATACATATTTAGCTATTCCAGGGTAGATGTTTTAAGGGTCAAAATATCAAAATTATTAATATAATTTATCTAAAATAATTCGAACACGTGTGATTTTTAAAATAGATTTTATTTTTTAAAGATAAATATAATAAAATCTTATTACTATAATCATCAAGTCAATACGATACACAAAGACCTGCAATATATAATTTTACGGTAAACCAATATAAAATTGCCACGTAATCAAATAATTGATTTCCTATCCCTTCCCCCTCATGTTCGGCAGCAAGGATCTCCTCCATGAATTTCTTACTTTGACTTTTTATTTGATGGATCATTTGGTTTATTTTTAAGCTTAATTTTAATAATTCAAATTATTTAGTTTTCAGAATTTTTCATATATATAAAAGATTAAATTGGTCGGATATTAAAAATCACGTGAATTAAAAATTTTATTAAATAATAAAATTATTTATTAATTTTTTTTAATAGATGGGTTTTACTTCTTCTAATATTCGATCAATTTGATTTTTTACAGATATGATATACATTACAAATTCTAAATTGTGAATAGTTTAAATCATCAAAATTAGACTAAAAAATAAACCCAACAACCCATCAAGTAAGGAGTTAGAGCATCTCCAATGGTAATATGCATTTTATCTATCTAAATATTACTATAAAATATATATTTTATTTTGCCTATCAACTATTTCATATTTCTATTCCAATCATACTCTTTATTTTAGCTATTCATCTAAATACTATTAATTTTATAAAATGCCACATCAGCAACAAAGATGGAGGGAAATGATCCTAATGATTAAATATATTTTGCCTAGTCTTAAAGGCTAGCTACATGTAGTTAGTGAATGTGAGTTGAGTTAAAATGCCTAATCATATGGCTAGTGTATTGGAGTTGAAAAAAATAAGTTATACTAAGCACTTTAACTAACAAGCATGATATGCCTAATGGGTTGGAGATGCTCTTAAGTGGAGAATTCAAGGAGGGAATCGTTGCTCCATGTTCGGTACCGCAAAACTCAAAACCAGTCAAATTCTTCTTCCACCATTCACCACGACCACAAGGCAACATTGCAATTTCGTCTCTTTCGACTGTGTAAAAATCAAAACAGCCTCTCAAACCCTAAATTTAATCTTGGTAGCAGGATGAGGGAGATGGGTTTTACAGAGGAAAGGGTTGGAGAAGGGGAGGGGAGCTGTTAGAAGAGGTGGTGGGTTCCACAGTTGAGATGAGGAGGAAGAGAAGGTAACTGCGAGGAATGGGGCAAAGAGAGAACAAAGGAATTTTCTAGGTAGTCACTCAATGAATTAGCTCACGTGTCACTGTTTTATTTGCTGATCGTAAACGAGAGATCTACGGCACTGCCGTAAATAACTAAAACTCTATGAACAAAGTCTCTCTTTTGAATGTTGATGAAGTCATCCACACACCTTCTACCTAGAATTTTTTCTCTTGCTGAACAGTATGAAGAATGAAAAGAGATTGAAATGCGAAGAGTCCACACATTGTATCCAATCTCATACCCAACCCCCCAAGAAGAACTTGAACAAGTTATGAGACTCATCATCTGCAAAGATGCAATTCAATATCTTGAGCTTCTCTTTCTCTTCTTTTCTTGTATTTGTTTCAAGTTTAGCATTTCCATAGACACCATTACTGTCACCCAACCCATCAATGACCCGGAAAGTATAATCTCAAGCAACAAAGTTTTTCAATTGGGATTTTTCAGCCCTGTCAATACTACCAATCGCTATGTTGGTATCTGGTACAACAACATCCCTGTGAGGACTGTGGTATGGGTAGCTAATAGAGAAAGGCCTTTAATAGATTCTTCCGGGAATTTGATGATATCCGAAGATGGCAATCTAGTGGTTTTGAATGGGCAAAAAGAGGATATTTGGTCATCTAATGTTTCAAATTCTGTGGCAAATTCAAGTGCCCGCCTGTTAGACTCTGGGAACTTTGTTTTGGTAGATAACTCAACTGGAAGGACAATATGGGAGAGTTTTCGAAACCCTTCAGACTCATTCTTGGAGAAGATGATGCTTACTAGTGATGGAAGTACAGGTGAAAAGATACTGTTGAAATCATGGGAAAGTCTTTCTGATCCATCCGTTGGAAGCTTCTCTGCCGGTATTAATCTTTTAACCATTCCAGAATTTTTTGTATGGAATGGAAGCCATCCTTATTGGCGCACTGGTCCTTGGAATGGTCAGATCTTTATTGGAGTACAATACATGACTTCACTGTATGGTGATGGTTTTAATGTGGTAGATAACAAAGAAGGAACTGTATCTGTGTCTTTCGCTTCTGCAAATGAGTCTATGTTAACATACATTTTCTTGAATCACGATGGAGCTCTAATGCAGATGGGTTGGACTCAAGGGAAGGAAGAACCAGAGGTTGACTGGTTAGCTCCAGAAAACGACTGTGCTGATTATGGCAAGTGTGGGCCATTTGGAAGCTGCAATTCAAAGGATTCATCAATTTGTTCTTGTTTGAGAGGGTTTGAGCCAAAGCACGTAGATGAATGGAATGGAGGAAATTTTATTAGTGGGTGTGTGAGGAGAAGTTATTTGCAGTGTGAGAGAAACAGTAGCAATAGTAGCCAAGAAAGCAAGAAAGATGGGTTTTTGAAGCTGACAACAATGAAAGTACCTGTGTTTGCAGTGTGGTCACCAGCTCTATCAAATGAGTGCGAAAACCAGTGTTTGAAGAATTGTTCATGCACGGCTTATGCATATTATGATGGCATTGGTTGCATGTTATGGAGTGGAAGCTTAATTGACATACAGAAATTCTCCAGTGATGGGGCAGATCTTTACATTCGCGTGTCATATTCAGAGCTCGGTAATATATTGCCTGTCCATATCCTTGTGCAACTTAAAACTCAACCCTTTGTAGTTAGATCTCAAGAAACTTTAGTACTTATTTAGTAAACTTGGAGATCTAATAAAGAAAAAAAGAAAGATCAATAATTATGTGGTCCATTTTACTTGAACTAATTTGATATTTGTTCTGTTTTACAGATAAAAAGAGGGACTTCAAACTAGTCATTGCAATTTCAGTGATCGTAGGGTCAATAATCATATCCGTCTGCTTATACTTCATATGGATGGTGAGGGTTAAACAAAGAGGTACAACAAATTTAATCAATCTGACTCAGAAATTAAGAAAACATTTTCTTCTATCATGTAGTACCTAATGTTGGGATCTGGGATCCCGCCCAAGACCTTATAGAAATCATTGCAAGCAGAAAAACACACCCACACACAAGGAGACACAATATTTTACGTGGTTCGGCCCAATGCCTACGTCCACGGGAGAGTAACCGGTTATCACTATACCAATGAGGAGATTACAGAAAGATTACAATAGAGGAGGAGCTCACACTCTCCTCACTCAGCCACTCACCCGTCTCCCTCGCTCACACCGAGAGAGACGGTCTCTCCGCCTCACATCTCTCACTCTCTTTGTTGTCTCACGGTTTGCTCACACTCTCTTTAAACTCTTTCCTTAGCCTCTATTTATACACTAATAGAATGGTGGAGAGCTTGGCTGTCCTACACATGGCCAGCTCCTTCTCCACATGCTGCAGCTTCTTCCACATGGCCAGCACATGGGGAGAGATGATATCCAACAAATCACCCTCTCAACCCATGTGAGGTGATCCACAGCACACATTGCTGCTAATCTTGTCATGCCCAAATTTCAACATAGCCTGCTTCTCCTCACTGAGACGTTTGCACCCCGTGAAGCTAGAGACAATACACTAGAGATACAAGAGAATGAGGGAATCCTACATCCTCAACTCAACTCATACCACTCTCTGATTTGGAGAGAGCCACTGCACCTATCTCCCACAAATCTCTTCCACGCTTCCTGTCTCGGATGTCTATACCTGCTATCCTTGAACTTGCGCAACCAAGATATCCGACACCCCCTGATTGGATGTCCTGCACCCCCTGCTTGGATGCCCTTGACTATCATGCAACTCCTTGCATGATGAACACTGGAGCAACTAGAAAACTTCAGAGTTTGACACATCAACATCCTCAAGTTTCCTTGCTCGGAGCTTATTTCTGAACAACCAGCCTTTGCCCTTCTGCACTTCTGAACAACCTCCTGGCGTTTCCACATACGCTTGTTGTCTGTGCTGCAATTCCTATCATCCTCTGACACAGTTCTCCAAGTGTAGGGATAACGCGTGTTTTTAATTTCACTTTACACCTTCCACGGCGTTTGTCAAAAAACGTTGTCTAAAAAACGTGGTTATAGGCAACTTTTGTTGTAGTGAATTCAAAGGACTCACCAATTTGTTCTTGTTTGAGAGGGTTTGAGCCAAATCGCATAGATGAATGGCTAAGTGAAAATTTTACTGGCAAATGTGTAAGGAGGACAAATTTGCAGTGTGAAAGGAACGATAGTAGTAGCCAAGAGAATAAAAAAGACGGGTTTTTGAAGCTGACGACAATGAAAGTGCCAGTGTTTGCCGAGTGGTCGCCAGTTCTAGCTAATGATTGTGAAAACCAGTGTTTGAAGAATTGTTCATGCACGGCTTATGCATATTATGATGGCATTGGTTGCATGTTATGGAGTGGAAGCTTAATTGACATACAGAAATTCTCCAGTGATGGGGCAGATCTTTACATTCGCGTGGCATATTCAGAGCTCGGTAATATATTGCCTGTCCATATCCTTGTGCAACTTAAAACTCAACCCTTTGTAGTCAGATCTCAAGAAACTTTAGTACTTATTTAGCAAACTTGGAGATCTAATAAAGAAAAAAAGAAAGATCAATAATTGTGTGGTCCATTTTACTTGAACTATTTTGATATTTGTTCTGTTTTACAGATAAAAAGAGGGACTTCAAACTAGTCATTGCAATTTCAGTGATTGTAGGGTCAATAATCATATCCGTCTGCTCATACTTCATATGGATGGTGATGGTTAAACAAAGAGGTACAACAAATTTAATCAATCTGACTCAGAAATTAAGAAAACATTTTCTTCTATCATGTAGTACCTAACCTAGAACTAGTTTTTTAATCAGGATTCAAAAAGAAGAGCAATGACATGCTACCATTTAAGAAACGGTCTCCAGAATACTCAACTGAAGTGCCGTTTGAAGATAATTTAAACCAAGTTAAACTTGAAGAACTACCACTCTTCAAGTTTGAGAAACTTGCAATTGCAACAGACGAATTTAACTGGACCAACAAGCTTGGACAAGGTGGTTTTGGCCCGGTGTACAAGGTAATAATGATTGTTCAAGCTGATCTTGAATTTGTTTTGTCAACAAGTGAAATAATTTGGTGTTTGTTTTAGGGGAAATTTCCGGATGGAGAAGAAATAGCGGTGAAAAGGCTTTCAAGGTCCTCTAAACAAGGGCTCGAGGAGTTCATGAATGAAGTTGTGATGATTTCTAAACTCCAGCACCGTAATCTAGTTAGACTCCTTGGCTGCTGTGTCGACGCAAAAGAAAAGATGCTGGTCTATGAATACATGCCAAATAAAAGCTTGGATGCATTTCTCTTTGGTTAGTACAAGTAAAAGCTCTTAACAAGTTGTTGCTTTCGTTGGATAACTCGTTATCTTTACTCTTTGGACTCACCATTTTACCAAAATTAGAACTTTTGTCTTGAAATCAATTTCTTTTACCTTTTTCTCCCACTTATACTTTCTTTTGAATGACATTCTTTTAGGTCCACAAAAACAAAAGCTCCTAGATTGGAGTAAACGCTTCGACATCATTGAAGGGATAGGCAGAGGCCTCCTCTACCTGCATAGGGATTCTAGATTAAGGATCATTCATCGAGATTTAAAGGCAAGTAATATTTTGTTGGATGAAGCGCTAAACCCTAAAATTTCAGATTTTGGAATGGCAAGGATTTTTTGTGGCGATGAACACCAAGCCAATACGAGAAGCGTTGTTGGAACATAGTAAGTACCTGTCTCTTTCTCCCAAATCTTCATTCTTTCAATGTGGAACCTCCTAATTTAATGCAATATAATGAGTTTTGACTTGATGTAGCGGCTATATGGCTCCGGAATATGCAATGCAAGGAAGCTTTTCGGAGAAATCAGATGTATTCAGTTTTGGTGTTTTGTTAATAGAGATTATAAGTGGAAGACGGAACACAAGTTTTTATAATGATGAGCAATCTTTGAGCCTTTTAGGATATGTAAGTCCACTCGATTCATTTGCATTTCCTAGTTCAATACTCAGAGGTTTATTCACTGTCAAAACCTAACTTTTACATGCCGTATTGTTGTTAAAATTTCAGGCTTGGAAATTGTGGAATGAAGATAACATTGCGTTGCTGATAGATCCAATGATATCTTATCAAGACTTCAGATCAGAGATTTTAAGATGTGTACATGTTGGACTGCTCTGTGTACAAGAATTTGCAATAGATAGGCCTACCATATCCACGGTTCTTTCTATGTTAAATAGTGAAATTTCATATCTTCCAACGCCAAAGCAACCTGCATTTACTCAAACACCAAAGAATCTGTCTTCACAACAAAGCCAGAGTAAATGTTCTAGGAATGAACTTACTGTTACAATTGTTGATGGCAGGTAACATCTCAGATGTCGAGATGATTATTTTTATTTTTTTCCAATTTCATGTATATAAGGACATGCCATTGTAAACAACTTGCATCAAGTGGATAGACCTATCCACAACTATTTTTGGTGTTCTGTTAGCGCTTATCGGACAAACAATTACAAATCAAATCTTTGTGTGAACACTTAAATTTTAAGATTTGTTTTTCTTAATCTGGAATTTACTTGGTGTTGAACGAGGCCGGTTCCTAAACATGTTGGAAAAAAATCATTAATCTTATTAGTTGAATGATTTCAGCACCAACACACCCTTCCAACTCAGGTTCATATAGTATTTATTTAATTAACATAAGGTATACACACAGACAAAAGAATTAGTGCAAACATTAATTATATATTTAGTTGTGTTCACTTAATAATTTTTCATTTTTCATTTTTAAAGCCAACCAGAAATTAGGTAATTGATTTGATGCAGAAGTTGGGTTAATTAAAAAAAAACAATGTGAACTGTCGTCTGCATTGACATTGCCTTGTGCTGCAACTAATCCACATTCCAAACACAGATCTAGACTGTCAAAAATTAAAAAACTACGATGGATTTAAAATACAAGTGCATGAGAAATTTGTTTTTTATGGTCAATTGTTCATGTTCATAACTAACGACAGCTAACTTCAGTATGAATTCAACTCATGCCTTCGGTGACAACTGATAAAATTGTGAAGAAGCAGAGAACTTGGGTTTAAACTAACATAGTTTTTTAAGTTTATGAATTAGATTGCAAGATAACAGTAAAATGACATCTCATTTTAAGACCTTAATTTAAACAGAAAATGTATATAATCACATGTTGAATTATCTGTATTGATGTCTCAGATATCAGTTGACTTATTATTATTATTATTTTTAGGTAATCACCTCACTTATTATTATTATTATTATTTTTTTTAGGTAATCAGCTCATTTTAATACTCCCCCCCCAAAAAAAAAAAACTATACCCTACTGATTAATTTCACTCCCCAACTTTGGGAACTATATATAGGGATGTAATTGGTTCGGTATGGTCAGTATTTAGGTAAAAAATTACGTCGAACTGTTAGCGCTTATTGGACAAACACATTACAATTCAAATCTTTGTGTGAACACTTCTATTTTAAGATTTGTTTTTTTCTTAATCTGGAATTTACTTGGTGTTGGATGAGGCCGGTTCGTAAACACGTGGGAAAAAATCATTTATCTTATTAGTTGAAATGACTTTCAGCACCACCACACCACCCCAACTCAGGTTCATATAGTATTTATCCAATTAACATGAGGTATACACAAGACAAAAGAATTATTGCAAACATTAATTATATATTTAGTTGTGTTCAGTTAATATATTTTCATTTTTAAATTTTGAAGTCAACAACAAATTAGGTAATTGAGTTGATACAAAAGTGATACATTTTTATAGTTAAGGGGGTCAAAATATTTGGATTCATAAATGAAGGGGTTAAAATGATATTCGTTAATAGTTGAAGGAAAATTTACCCATAAGTCCTAGTTTCTGAAAAGTTGAACCATTTAGTCCTAAAAGTTTTCTTATGCTCCATTTAGTCCCATTTGCACATCAATTTAATGTTTGAAACATTAATCTGATGTTCGAAATCTAATGTTCAAAACATTAATCTGATGTTCTAAATCTAATGTTCGAAACATTAATCTGATGTTTGAAACATTGTAATGGGACCTTTCAGTCTATAAGAAAACTTTTAGGACTAAACAGTGTATAAGTTATTAATTTGGGATTTATTGGTGCATCCCCCATAGTTGAAAGGATCTTGGTGTAAATTTAGATGCATCTAATCTAATCTAGACACACCTAAAAGTAAAACATTTATGAAAAAATACCTTAAAAGAATTCACTAGGGACAAAAAGGGCAAATTACATATACCCCTCGAGGTTTGGCTAAATTACAAATACCCCCCTGAGGTTTGAGAAATTACAAATTCCCCTCTGAATGCTATATTTGCATAACAAATTAGGGGGTAATTTGTTATGAAATTTAAACCTCAAGGGTCAAATTGTTATGAAAATACAAACCTTAGGAGGCGGGATGTAATTTCCGAAACCTCAGGGGTATCTGTAATTTAGCCAAACCTCAAGGGAGGTATATGTAATTTGCCCGGACCAAATTGAAATCATATTGTCCCATACTATCAAATTTAAACGAAAAAAATTTCAAAAAAAAAAAAATTATATTTCATCTCAAATTTCAAAAGATTCAAATTCATTCTCCCTTCATCTCTTTTGTCAATCCCTAAATTACCGAAATCCCTCTGCCACCCTCCTCCCTCCTTCCGTCATCATCTTTCCAACCATCGCCATTTCAAACCCATAAAAAAAAACATTATTCTATTTTTTAAGTATCAGAAAAAAGAAAAAAAAAAAGCAGTAATATGAAAAAAGTTTGATATTAGTGCAAGTTTGCAAATTTGGCAATTGCCATAACTAGTGTCAAATTTGACACAAAGTTTGCATTTGGAATGCTCTTAAAACAAATCTCTCTCATTTTACAGCCCAACGGGGTAATCTAGCCCAAGCCAGACACATGTTTCGACAGGCTGCTCATGACAGCTTGTTGGGGGTCTATTTGGTAAAAATATGGAAAACAAATAGTCCATTATTGTTATAGACATTCGGCTAAACATAACATCTGGACCGTAAGCAGGGGTGGAGCCATGTACGGGCAAGGGGGTCACGTGCCCCCTGACTTTTCATTTTTTTTTTTTTTTGTGTGCTGTGTGGAGTATGTTAAAGATTCGAAAAATTTGCTACTCGGTGACATAATCACCAGTTGCGCTGTGTGGAGTGTGTGTTAAAAGATTCGGAAAATTTGCTACTTGGTGACGCAATCACCAATGTCTCTGCCCTTTTGTTTTTAATGGATATATATATAGAGAGAGAAATTAGTATTTAATAGGATTCTCCTCTTTGTAGGCTAATTACAACACAAATAGGTTAAAAATTAAATTTTAAATTTTTTACAAAAAAATAGAGAAATAATATGATTAAAAAAAATTAAAAAGTAAAAAAATTAACTTTTAATTAATTTTCTATAATAAACCTATATAGTGGTATATGTACCCTCGATGGATCTGTTGTTAATTATGAAGATTATAAATTTTATTCCTTTCCATTTTAAAATATTAATTTCTTATTTTATTTTTTATTATCTTAAAATATTAATTATTTTTTAAAAAATAAAAAATAAAAATAACATGAATTTTTTTATTTTTCTCTTATTTTAAATTTATTAATATTAATATACATAAAAGCATGAAATTGATGTTCTCCAAATGAATGATATGTTTATAGCTCAAGGGAGAAAAAAGCACAATGCTCAAGAAATTACAAACCTACATCACTATCGGACTGAATTATTCTACACTATTTTGGATATGCAAATTTAAGAACTAAATGCTCATTTCACTTAATCAAACACTGAGTTGTTATTGATTGGGAAAGAACTCTGTTTGGTTGTGTTCTGGAAACGTGATTCCACACTTACATGTGAATATGATGTTTGGTAGGAGTTTTGGAATCACAATCTAAAACTCTGCAGAAAGCTCTGTCTCAGGTGGCTTTTCAGAATTTTTTTTTTTGCAAATTTTGCCTAACGGGTCGTCCGGCCGGTTGACTGGAATAGTGAATTTTTTTTTTTTGCAATTGATATGTTAATTTTTATATAATCGAATATGTTAATTTTTTATATAATCGAAAAAAATATTTTCTAAAATTTTTAATTTTTTTTATGTGCTTTAAAATAATTTTGAGTTGTATGCTTAGTTATGAATTGTAAATTTTTGTATTAAATATTAAATGTCACATCAATAATTCCCCACTCAAATCACAACTCTTTTCAAAACTATTTACCAAACAAATTTTTCACACTCAAATCATAATTCAAAACCTCACAAACTCAAAATACAACTTATATTCTCAAATCATAATTACAAAACTCTACAAAACGCAACTAAAAATTTTGAGATTATAATTACTAGGTGCCCCCCTATATCAAATTTCTGGCTCCGCCATTCACCGTCAGCTCACCAAAAATCATCTTCTAATATACATTCATAATTGAAGTTCTGCATATATATATATATATATATATTTTAAATTATCTCAAAGTATCCAAAAAATGAAATGTGTAGACTAGATTTATACATAGGAAAATGCTAGAGGTCCCAAATTTTCTACCAATTAAATGACCAAATATCTCACATGGGTATGGGCCCACAAAATTGCGGACCCCATACCCATGTGAGACAAGGGCTTGTTTGGTTTGTATTTGAGAAACATGTTTTGAGATAAAAAGTACGAAAATTTGTTTGGTTTGATTTTTTTTCAAAAGATGTTTTGAAAAATTATTTTGAGAGAGAGTTTTGGAAAAAGTGATTGATTTGATGTGTATGAGAGAGAGATTTGTTTGGAAAACTTGTAAACCAAACAAGTTTTGGAAAAAAATTTTGGAAAAATTTATTTGGTTTGATTACTTTTGAAAACTTATTTGTAGAGAATTTTTCTCAAAATTTTTTGAGAAACACAAACCAAACAAGGCCTTGGTCATTTGGTAGAAAATTTGGTGTCCCTAGCATTACTCAATTTCTTTTTCCGCTCATGAGCACAATATGTCACAAACTAATAATAAAATGTCATCCCATATTACTTACAATCACTAATACAAACTGATGAACCCCATAATATTCACTAATGGCAACCATCTTGTGGCTTCACCTAACTATGACCCATAAACACTGAATAATTTATCTTCTTCTTCTTTCTTCTTTTTTTTATTTTTTATTTTTTTTTAATTTTTTAATTTTTTAATGTAACTTTTAGATATGTAGTATTATGAAGAAAAAAAAAATGAAAATGTGCTATAGTGATTTTATATGGATTTTTACAATTATTTAAGCTTATGTTCAGCGTTCTTCTTTTGCATATAGATGCTAGCAAATGTCCCATGATCAAAGTTTTGAATTAACTGAGTTCACTAGCAGTGGCCGCTTCAAGAAATTTTATAGATGCGGTCACTCAAAAATTTTAAATTTCACAAATTTTATTAAAAAAATTTAAATTAATTAGCATTTGAAGTTCTCCACCTTTAAGTAAAATACATTTTTAATAAAATACAATCATTTTTACCAATATATATATAAACTTTTATAATCATATTCCACGAGATGTCATTTTTTAAAAATATTACACGATAACTTCATTGTCAATAGTGTCAAATGGAAATGTAATAAAGAATGACTAGGTTCACATTTAGTTTGAGTGCTGACAAGAGAAATGTAATAAAGAATGACTAGGTTCACATTTAGTTTGAGTGCTGACAAGAGAAATGTAATAAAGAATGACTAGGTTCACATTTAGTTTGAGTGCTGACAAGAGAAATGAACTATTCAAGTATTGATCTCACATTTAGTTTGAGTGCTGACAAGAGAAATGTAATAAAGAATGACTAGGTTCACATTTAGTTTGAGTGCTGACAAGAGAAATGTAATAAAGAATGACTAGGTTCCTTATGGATTTTGATTTTTAATAGATGGGGTCCTTTGTTTTTTTATTCATTTTATTTTTTAATTGGATTAATTAGTTATCGAATAAAATTTTTACCATTAAAAAAAATTATTCAAGGGTTTTCGGTAGGGTGATGGGTGGATGGGACCTCATCACTCCTTTGGTAGAGTCATCCTTATTGACTAGAAATCTGAAATTCGTTACACGTCCTCTTTTCTAAGTTACACCCTCCAATGTAAATATATATATATATATATATATATGAAACTTGAGATTCAAAGCTAAAACGTTGAAAGAGAATGCATCTACATAACAAAACTAGGATGCATTGAAGAATCATCATTTCATAGACAACCAGAAAAACATATACAAAATAGTTGAGAAACAAAAAAAGGTCAGAAACAAAAAAAGGTGGCCTAAGAAGTACAGAGAGACAGGGTGTCCTATAACTAATTCAACACAACTTTTTGTTGGGATTTAGGATCCCACCTACGACTTTTCAGAAATTATACTAAGCTGAAAAACAACCACACACATAAACAGACACACAATATTTAACATGGTTCGGTCTCAATGCCTACGTCCACGAGAGAGTAACTATTTTCAGCATAGAATGAAGATTACAAAGAGATTTCAATGAAGAAGAAGACCACACTCACTTAACATCTACTGAACTCCCCCTCTTACATAGAGGGAGCTCCCCTCTCTCACACAAAGGGACTCTCTGTCTCATTCTCACATCTTCCTTCGTCACTCATATCTTAGCTCACTCCTGAGCCTCTCTATTTATACTCCACTAGGGAAGGAGGTTGGCAGACACTCTTCCACAAATCACTCTAGTACGAAATCCAGTGCCTCTGACAGCTACTTGCATGCGCCACACTCTGCCGAATTCGGTGCCGTCTTCCTTGACTTCTTCACCCAAGCTGTAGCTTAGTTTTTGTAGGGATATATTTTCTGAGCACCAACACGTGGCAAGGTGACGCCGACGTGTCAGCCGAGGTGCCACGTGTCCTGGTCGTGACGCCGAGGTGATCTCGGCAAGGCTGAGGTTATCTCCGAAGATACCAGAATCCGAGATAAGTGGATAAGGGACAAGAGTCCTAGAATGAGAGAAGACTTCAGTTTGGGTAAAGATAAGACTCTTATAGAGTTTATCCTAATCCCACTGGGAGTCCCAGATTAGCAGTAATCTTAAGTTCGTTAGGGCCAGGCTCCTATTGGGACTAGGATTGTATTGGCTATAAAAGAGAGGCACCCCCATGGGTCTAAAGTATGCTTTTGATACTCAAGCTTGTGAGTTTAGTACTTGATTTATCTTTGAGAGATATACTGACTTGATCGTCGGAGTGCCCCCGGGTGGTCGAAACCACCGCGGGATTCTTATATTCTGTTGCAGGTCAGTCAGGTGCCATCTATTCTGCCAGTGCTCTCCAGCTGGTTACTAAGCGGGCGGTGTGGTCAGAAAATCACCCACACAGTTTCATACAAGCATTATAGAAAAAAGATCACCCCTCACATGGGGTGATATCCAATACTTCCTCAATTCACCTTCTTGAACCTTTCATCAATTAGGGCTAAGCAAGGTTTTAAATAACGGTGGTGGTTACCGTGACGGTAGAGGTAACACTGACGCAAATGCGGGGTGTAATGGTCATAGCGTAACGGTGGCAGCAATCGGAGCTGTGAATTTTCTAATTCTTTGCACAACTTTAAGAAAACATACCGATATACATGTTTTTATTTCAAATTCACATTCAGTGATGTTCAAAATGATTTTTAGTATTTTAGTGTCGTTTTAAAATAAGATCCAATATATATACTAATTTTTATATCAATTTTAAGTTGTTGTGGAGAATTTTTCTATTGTTTCAATTTTAAATAGTGAATACCAATCTCAATCAAATAATCAATAACAAATCGACACAACCCTTTAATGTGAAAAAAATTACAATTGGAGAGCCTCCAATTGTGATAAAAACCATGGGCTAAAGCCATAAAACCATCTAGTAAGAAGACAAAAAAGAATTACACAAGTATACCCTCAATTACCTAGCGAATCCACGCCCAAATTGAATCGACCCCGACGTGCCTCTTCCACTACCGTCTTCACCTCAGAATTGTTTTGCCCAGCATTGAATCTACAACGCTGATATCGAATCCATGACAATGAGCCACTCCAGAATCCACAAAGCTTCAGGCCTAAGTTGTGAGCACTCGAATATAAAAATAGAGTAAATAATTAAATAATAATAATTTTACAATCTTAAATATTTTGATGGGGAATCCTAAAGTGCAAATTAAATTTTTTGAGGGTCTTTTAATTAACTTTAAACCTACAATAAATTTAAGGTGAAAGTCTTTAATTTAGAGGTAAGATTTATTATTAAAAAAAAAAAAAATAGAGAAGAGAGTGTGACTTGAACTCTAGACCACAAAATTATTAAATAAGGCTCTTACCATTTGATTTGCATATAACTTATATATATATATATATATATATATTGTATATTTATCTATTTATTTGACCTGCACACGCATTATGTGTGTCCACCACTAGTATGTCCTATTCATAGTTGTGACCCTTAAGAGTGAGGCAGGAGGGGAGAGACGGAGAGAGAGAAGGAGCAGCCACTTAACTTAGTCGAAGTGGACTAGCAGGTACTCCACCTTTGTTCATATTTTTTTGGTCGCTACTTTGGTCGCCAATTGAGGGTCGGCAAAAGTAATTCGCGACCAAAATTGTGATTGGTCGGCAAAAGTTGGATTTGCCAACTAAATTTTTGGTCGCTAAATATTTAATTACCGCGACTCATTTATTTTGTCGCCAAAACACTTTTGTCGCGAAAAGTGATATTTTCCCGACCAAATTTCTTAGTCGCCAATTGTCACATTTCCCGACCAAAAAGTTTGGTCGCCAATTATTACATTTCGCGACCAAATTTTTTGGTCGCCAATTATCACATTTCGCAACCAAAAAAATTGGTCGCCATTTGTTACTTTTCGCGACCAAAACTTTTGGTCGGAAAAAGTGAGTTTCCACGACCAAGAGCTGTTTTGGTCGGCAATAGATGTATTTTTTGCGACCAAAACTCTTGGTCGGCAATTGTCATTTTTTGCGAAAAAAAATTATTTATTTGTCGCGACTAATAAATTGGTCGCCAAAGTAGGAAAACAATACACTTGTAGTTCCTAATAATTCATTCATTCCATAATAAACCTATAATTTTAAAGCATCATTCAAATTAACTGAATCATTAACATTCGACACAATACATAATTCATTAACATTCGACACAATACAACTATTCTAAGTTTTCATTCACAAGTCACATCCATCTAGCTAGATAACAAGGTAAAAGCTACATACTAAACTTTACATTCCCAATATATACATTCATGCAGCAGTGGCATGAAAGTTACCCTTAGATGGCTTTGCACATTCGCTTGCTTCTTCCATTCTCTGAATCACTTATAACAAAAGAAGCAGAGTATCAATTGAAGTATCCTCAAACTAACCAGTACAAGGTTGGTTTATTTAATTTATATCAGTGCTCAAATTTACAAGCCTTTTCCCAGTTACATGTCAATAATACCAAATTAAAAACCTCACATTTTCCTTCTCAAACACCTCAGATGAAGCATCAGGTGGAACTAAAGGCCAAACTGCAGGCTTAGGCCAAGGTAGCATGCTGAGTGAAGCACTGCACAAAAGAAAAATATATTAGAGAGAGAGTTGGAGGACCACAGTGCAACATCAAAGGAACTCTTTGGCAATGCTGACTACTACTTTCAAATAGGATTGGTATGCTAAAAAGTTGTGTTTCTACCTGTTGACAGGACTTCTTTCTATATCTGATCCATAACCAATTAGTTATGCAAGCCTCATGAACTACAACATGGGGAATTACATTGCAATAAGCAATAATTTTGGTATTAAATTTGTAGAAACAAGTGAACAAATGCATGGCTATTCTTTTTTTTCTTAATAAAAAAAAAATGCTTGTTAATTGTCACAGGGAAACCATTGAGAAATAAAAATAGAATGAAACATGTCATCGCATCTATATGTCAGTAAAAAACATGCCTGGACAACTATTTTTTCCCTCAAACTCCATTCTCGGTTGAAATAACAAATGTTGATTACTTCCACTCACCAAGTTACGTAGTATAGTATGAAAACACTGCACTATATCACACTAAGTATATGGAGTTTGGAAGTCACTTGCAATGCGTGTAAACTTTACCTTAATCCGGCATAGTGAATAAAGATCACCTTGAAGGCGATAAAACTCTGTTTCTATATCAGGTGCCACTTGTCCATCACTATAATGAGAAGCAATTGTATTGATTAAAGCCAAGCAAGCAGTTATCACCCAAACTTCACGCATACAGAAGGGTAACATACTCTGAAAAAAACACCAAGAAAAGAGAGGTAAAAAGGATAAGAATAAATAACATTTCGATAATAGCTTAAAAAAAGTACTATTATTACTGTGAGTGAACATTGAACAACATGTCAAATACCTCATGCAGTGCCAATGCCTTTGAAAAGCCGATAATAAATGAATAGCCCCTTGATGCAACCTCAAAGGGACGATTCAACTTGAATAACAGCTGCAAAATTGAGATGTATAATTGCAACAAAGTTAAAACACAATTGCAGAAAACCAAGTACCCTTGAAATGTGGCGAGACAAAACATTTAAAGTTTTGACAAATATAACAACCACTGTAGAAAACTTAAGAAAGTATGGCTCCAGTGAGGCAATTAGTATAGATATTACAAATTAAATTTAACAATAAGATGTAGAATTAAGTTAACTATGATATACTGAGCACGTACTAAAGCAAGTTCAAGCAGTGCATCCCAATTTCCAATATGCAAGAAGAATAATATAAGTGTTACTGGTAAATGAAAGACTCAACGCTACGAAAAATTTTACATGCCATAAATTGAACATGATTGAGGAAAACAAATAATGCAATAACTTCTGGTATGAAAAAAAAAACATAATTTTCCATTATGTATAACTTCTCCTGTTATTATCTAAAACCAACCTAAGTTAATCCTACTTCTTTATCTTGCACACCTTTGCTTGGCTGGCAAAAAAATACTGTCTAAATTCAAATTCTCTAAATGAATCATCTTCAGTAATCTGTGTTAATGGTTTGTTCCCAGGGTTTAGCACTGCAGCTTGATCATCTCCATGGTCCATTCCTCCAAAGTCCCAATGTTCCCCTCACATAACTGCATTACATGAAAAAAGTAAACACATACGAAAATTGACAGATATTTTTTAAATTGGCAACACTAATGAAACACATAAATTGACAGCTACTTTAAGATTGTCATCACTAATGAAACACAAAGAATGAATTAATTTTGTGAATCAAGAGAACACAACAATGATTGAGAAAACACAATACAAATATAGCTAGAGAAAGATGTTTGATGAGTACTTATAACTTATAAGAACATAGAGATTCAAATTTCGCATAGTAAGGCCACTGAGGGGCTTCAAGTCTTCGAGACAGAGTGCTAAACAACAATCTACATACCCTAAGGAAATTGACAGTTGTTTAGTAGGAGAAACAATCAAGAAGATGAAAATAAGGCCCCAACATGGTCTATTTTTAACATGGAAAAATTATATAATACGGTCTTAAAGAGTGAATAAAGAAAAATTCTGGGGGGGGGGACAATAGACAAAAACTGAGCATGCTCATTCAACAAAGCCTTATTCAACTACAAGGAATTCACTACACAAAGCCATTTTGTGATTCACTGCCATCCTATAGTATGTCTTAAACCAATTTCTAATGATACTGCCTTGAAAAAAGATGTGTACTAAAATAATAAGCATGAACCGGGGAAATTGAATTCCCAATTATGCTGGACTGGCATCAAACGTCGTGTCCCTACATACCTGTATCCAATTGAACTTTTCCTGTTATTATGACAAAAATTATAGACTGTTTGTCATATAAATGAGCTGTGATTTGTCCTTTTCGTGCCTTGACAGAGAAAAAAACTAACAGTAATAACAATAACAGGATGGAAAAACATTATTGTCCTTTTTTTCTTTTGGGTGTAGGTAGGTGGGTGGGTGGGTAGGCAGTAGGGACATGGGAGGGGGATGGACCAAATTGCATCATAAATAAATAAAAAAATGTTGTTAGTTCATAACACTTTAAAAAATGTAGCTACTTACCTCATTACCATGCAAATCAATGTCCATTTGGACTACCAGATGAGGTTCTACTGGTTCTGATCGATTCCCCTCTCCACCTTGATCAACAAAAGAGAGATAATACCGGGAGCTGTTTGGTCTCACACAACCTTTTTTAACTTCTCTGCAGCAACTCTTAAAGACTTCCACGGGTGGACAATACCGCTGACCAGGAACCTGTTTAAAATGAATGTGAGGAAACTCCAATCAAATTACATAAACCAAAGTAGATAACCAAGCTTAAATTCAAAAATATTATGATTGACTCATGAACACTATTAAATGATCTCAGGTATCACACGTCAATTCAAACTATCCCACTTGAAATTAATAAGAAAATGGCAAGAGCACAAAAGTTGTGCCACTTTCAGTATAATGCATTCTCCAACTCAATTTTTACAATATAGAAAACCATCAATAAAGAGCTGAAAACCCAAGCCATGGTTAACTCTCAATAAAAAATTAGAAAATCTGGAGAATCAACACCCATCTGGTTCACATGGTTCTTTCTTATCCATATAAGCACCATAACATAATATAAGGGAAAGAACTGCTAGTGACAACCAATGCATTCATAGCAGAAGACAAAAAAAAAGTGCAGCAGCAATTGCTTTATGCTATTTTCATATGTCAATAAATCAGTAACTGGCTAACAAAAAAGTTGGAAGAAGCAATTGCTTACTGCTATTTTATGTCGGTCCAATACAACCAAGTGCAACAGAACCACTAGTGAATCACGCATGCTTTTGTAAACACATATGGTTGCTAAAATCAGGATCCTATGTCAGATTGATAAGTTCAGGGTCTCGTGGATCAGATCAAATATTGTTGTGTGTGTGTGTGTGTGTGAGAGAGAGAGAGAGAGAGACCGTTAAACATGATGTATATTAAAATAATAAAGGGAAAAAAAAATCACTGGCTCAGTGATTCTACAAGATCCTACACTATCCTACTTGCAATTTTGCTATAATACTGATTTTATGCTGATTTGGATGTTATTCAGATCATGATTTTAATAAAAATGGTGCCATCCCAGTTATTGACCATGCAAAATTTAGGAAGGCTGTATCAGAAAATCAAGCAGAAATTCCAATATTAACTACATCATTAATATAATAAATTCAAAAACAAAGGAACAGTAAGAACGGGAAAAATGCAAATGCAAAACCTTGTAGCTCTACTGATTCTTCTATTCCATCTAATAAATCCATTTAATAAAAAACTACAATTAAAACTAACCATGCAAATTACTCAACATTCTTTCTCACCCCAAAAAAATAAAACTGCTTTGGCGAATTGTCAAAGTCTCTTTGGCTTGAGAATCAAAAGCTGGGTTGTCAATAAGAGCATTGACAAAAAAGAAAATGCAAATGCAAATGGTCTTCAACATTGAATTAGTCTTCAACATTGAATTAGACGTATACATTTCAATCTTAGCTTTCTTTCATAATAATACCATAGTTTTCTTTCAGACATCTAAGATTGAAATGTATACATCTAATTTATAATAATACCATAGTTTTCTTTCAGACATCCAGTCTTCAACATTGAATTAGTTTTCAACATTGAATTAGATGTATACATTTCAATCTTAAAAATTATAAGAAAATGCAAATGGTAGGAAAACAACTACGTTGCAAAGTCCCATTATTTGATTTCACACACACACAAAACACACAAAACACACACACACACACACACACAGAGAAAATTACGACAAAAACAATGAAAAAAAAACCATAAAGGCTCTAAGCTTCTTGTTTAATCTGAACTAGAGAAAATGGGGCAGAAAACAGAAACGAAGCATATCCTCTTACTCAAACTAGGTTCAACCAATCCCATGTAGATTTCAAAAGCGTTACTTGTAACTGTGTTTCCAAGCATATCCTCTTACTTAAGCATACACTTAATACTGACTGGGAAAGTCGACATCATTCATGTTAACAGTTCATTTTCATCAGTTTCTACCTACTCACCTGATCCCTTCTAGGTCTTTGTAACAAGTTTCTAGTTCAACCGATCAATATGGACAGAAACACAGCCAACATGTTTTAGTTTAAGAAAATGTTTGAGCCCTAAGATAATTAACCACTAAGGAAGAATCGACTTTAAGTTCAATCTTGTACAGAATACTTCTGGGTAATCCACTATATTGAGCTCTATACATATATATATATATATATATATGTGTGTGTGTGTGTGTGTACTAGAATGTGTGCACACCTGATGGGTGATATGAAAATAAAAAATATATGTGGGAAAAAAAACTGAAGAATTTACAAAATTTGAAATTTGAAATTTAAACTAGGCCTCAACTATATAGTTGGAGATATGAGTCTTGGCTTTCTGTGATATTATGTTCCACAGAGCAATGATTTTTGTATTTTTGGAATACATTTTGCTATGCGACTTTTTGTTCTCACTTGCTAAATGTTGGCAATACTTTTAGAGATGGTTTTTGTTTATCCTATCAAAGTTATCATTTTACTTACCCAACTTCTACTACATACTCCGATTCATCTATTTATTATTAGGATATAAAAGCATACCTCATCAAGATAACTAAATGTCATTTGTTATCATCACTATCATAGTTCACTCCACTTAGCTCAACACAACAATGCACCAATTTTACTTGTTAGTTTGACTTAATGAATCCTTTTCTAGAAAGATTTCTGAAGAGCAATAACCTCAGTCAAATCCATGGCCATTATGCCCTTTCCTACTAACCCTCACATGCTTAATTTCCTCATCCTCTTATACTCAACTTTGGCTGTGTATTTTTGTTTAACTGTAAGACCCTAACTAAGCACA